TGTTGATACAGCTCATATGCTTGTCATTGGAAGTGTTGATATAGCTAATATGCATATCTGTTGAAATGTGGATACAGCTTGTATGCTTATCTGTTGAGATATTGATATAACCTGTGTGTTTATCTATTGTAAGAAAATGGAAAATGTTTAGAATGAGTCTTTGTCTCATATAAGTGGTTGGCCAGGTTCTAAGCCATTGATGGAAATTGTGAAATTGATAAGAAATGGAAATGGGTTATGAATTGGTTTATGAAAATTGGACATTTATCAATTGCTAATGTCTTAGTCATTGCTCATACGGTGTTTAGCATATCTCTACTGGGCTGTGGCTCACCCTATATGGGAATATTATTTTCAGGTACAGGTAGTATGCCACCTCCAAGGACGTAGCTTGGGAGGCTAGAGGCGGGTAGACTTTTGTTGTTTAGTTTCTTAATGTATTACATGTATATTCAAGCCAATGGCTAAATGTGTAAATGAGTTAGTACTCTTTTGTTGTAACCAAGTGTTAACTTGGAAAGCTGTAAGCCCTTAGGTATTTGCTTTTGTCGTTAACATGTAATACTTTTGGTAATGGAACTTTGATGAATAGAAGAATGTGGAACTTTTATGTATCCATGCATGTTTGTATTGATGGGTTTAATGTTATTATTTTGAGGGCGTTACAACATAAAAAGCATACCTTAGACCTATGAGGATGCCTCTCTTTTATAGCCAGCACAAACCTAGTCCCAATAGAAGCCTAACTTTAATGGACTTAGGATTATTGCTAATCTTGGACTCCGAGTATGATTAAGATAAACTCTGTAAGAGTCTTATCTTTACCCAAACTGAAGTCCTCTCTCATTCTAGGACTCTTGTCTCTTATCCGCTTATCCCGAATTCCAGTATCTTCGCAGATAACCTCGGTCTAGCCGAGATGATCTCGGCGTCATGACTAGGACAAGTGGTACCTCGGTTGGCACTTCAGTGACACCTCGGCCACATATTTTCGTTCAAAAATTATGTCTCCACAACTGCCCCTAGGTTCTATTACGTCAGCATCCTGAGGTGATGGAACCTATTTCATTCATTTCTTTAATCGTGACCCCAGTTTAACTTCAGCTTGTAAATTTTTAAAATTTCAATAAGTGTTAAACATGACCTCGGTTTAATTTCAACTTGTAAATTTTTAAAATTTCAACAAGTGTTAAACATGACCTCGGTTTAACTTCAACTTGTAAATTTTTAAAATTTCAACAAGTGTTAAACATGTCATCAGTTTAATTTCAACTTATTAATTTTTCTTAAAATTTCAACAAATGTTAAACATGACCTCGGTTTAATTTCAACTTGTAAATTTTTAAAATTTCAACAAGTGTTAAACATGTCATCGGTTTAACTTCAACTTGTAAATTTTCCTTAAAATTTCAACAAGTGTTAAACATAACCTCAGTTTAACTTCAACTTGTAAATTTTTAAAATTTCAATAAGTGTTAAACATATCCTCAGTTTAACTTCAATTTGTAAATTTTTCTTAAAACTTCAACAAGTATTAAACATGACATCGATTTAACTTCAACTTGTAAATTTTAAAATTTCAACAAGTGTTAAACATAACCTCGGTTTAACTTCAACTTGTAAATTTTTCTTAAAGTTTCAACAAGTGTTAAATATAACCTCGGTTTAATTTCAACTTGTAAATTTTTTAAATTTCAACAAGTGTTAAACCAACCTTAGCATGTAAATTCCAACTCCTAAGCATCATTCTCCAGCCCTCTACCCCCGCGTGTCTTCCTTGGCCCTTGCATACTTCTCAATTCTAGCCATGAGTTCCTCCATGCTAAGGGACTGCATGAACCGTTTTCTGCCTCCTTTTCTAGGCACCTTTCTTGGTCGCTGGAATTGGCATATCTTATAGCGGGAACGGTGGCTGTATGACGTTGTTCTGCATCATGAAATTGACGACCATTTGCAGGTCCGTCAATTTGTCCGCCATTCCCTTCATGTCGTCGTCCCTCCGCAAGCATCTATCTTTTCCATACCTGGAGGTCGTCCTCGTTATAATACCCACTCTGGTCCGATTTCTTCGGTATGCCGCCCTCCTGGCCGACGTCCTTTCCCCCGTGATTCTTATCACGAGTCTTTTGGTTGCAGTTGTCTTCTTCGACGTCAAGGTCAATGTGTTTCTCGCTCCCAGTAAGGGTGTCGTCCCTAACCTTCTCTTTCTGTCCGTCGTTGGCTATCTATTCTCCTTTCTTTCCCACAGACGGCGCCAAATTGTGTGTGTCAATTTCTAACTACACTGCCAATCAAGCACTCAGCTGGAGAATACTGGCAGAATAGATTAAGCCCAAACGACCTGTCACAAAAAGAAGAGATTCCGACAGTAGTTCGTCCACCCGGGGGCACTCCGACGATCAAGTCAAAGATAACAAAAGTGCTTAATTCACTATTCAGAACATAAAAAAGCATACCTTAGACCCATGAGAGTGCCTCTCTTTTATAGCTAACACAAACCTAGTCCCAATAGAAACCTAACTTCAATAGACTTAGGATTACTGCTAACCTTGGACTCCCAGTAGGATTGGGATAAACTCTGTAAGAGTCTTATCTTTACCCAAACTGAAGTCCTCTCTCATTCTAGGACTCTTGTCCCTTATCTGTAAATCCCGGATTCCGTTATCTTCGCAGATAACCTCGGCCTAGCCGAGATGATCTCGGTGTCATGACCAGGACACGTGGCACCTCGACTGGCACTTCCGTGACACCTCCGCTACGTGTTGTCATTAAAAAATTATATCCTCACACATATAAAAACCCTAAACCTAGCATACACAACTAATCGAATAATGAAATCAATCCATCCTTTTCATATAATTACAAAAGCAAACCAATATCAAATAAATATAAATAAATAAATAATAAAACAAATTAAACATAAATCAAGGGAAGTGAGTTTTACACTCACAATTATTTTCAAAGATCAAAATGTTACTTGAAGAATTAATAAAACTCCCAAAACAAAACCTTAATCCTTTCTTTTTCTTTCTACCTCTTTTTTTTCCCCACTGCTTCTCTCTTTTTCGGCTCTCTTTCTTTGATTTCTCTCTCTCTCTCTCGGCTGCCGTACACACAAAGCCTCTCTGTTTTTGTTTTATTTTGTTTTGTTTTGTTTTGTTTTGTTTTTTTTTTTTTCCTAAAGGCAGATGCTATGAGTATAACCTAATATATAAATATATAATACAACATAAATATAACATACATAAATATGATATATATTTTATCAATATATAAAATACTTTTTTTTAATGTAAAATATATAAATATATAAATATTGGGATTAATTATATTTAATTAATTATCACATTAAATTAATTAAATACTTCATTAAATTAATTAAATACCTCATTAAATTTTCATGTATCCACACAATTAATATAGTCAAAAATAAAATAAAGTAATAATAATAAATATTGACTTACGAAAAATTATGGTCGCTACAATATATCACAATAAATTCTCATATATCCACACAATTAATAAAACCAAAAATAAAATAAAGTAATAATAATAAATAATGACTTACGAAAAGTTAGGATTGTTGGCTTATTGATTAAAATATATTTTTGCTAACCATTTATCTCTAAAATAATATTTATCATTGAAAAAAATGTGTTTTGGTCAAGGGATTATCGATATCCGATCAATGTGATTGTTTGCAGACATAAAATAGTTGACGAACTCTACTTATTTAACAGTTTAAATTATCGAAATGAGACCCATAATAAACCTAATAAACCTAATAATATACTCCAATTCACTGTGTAAACTGGAGAGTACCCGCACCCTAATTTAAATATTAATCTCAAGCTCTTCAAAACAAAAGTACAGGATTTACACTATGTTTGGATTGAGTGATTTGGGGACAAAAGAAGAGAAATAGGGAGATATGTATTTTTCTTATTTGTTTGGACAACTGAAGTGGAGAGAAATAGAGAGAAATGGAGAGAAATAGAGAGAAATCATTTTTCTTATAACCTTCATTTTCAATTTTTCCAAAAGTAGAGAGATTGTGAGAGAAAAGAAATCAATAGATTCTTATATTTGTATAATACCAATTTTGTCCTATAAAAATAAAAGAAATAAAATGATTGACAAAATATAAAAAAGATTATTTTAGTAATATAACATAAAACCATTTTTTTTCTTTTCTCTTATGAAATTTAATCAAACAAAAAGAAGAAAAATCACAATTATTTATTTATTTTTATTTCTTACTTGTCCAAATAAAAAAGAGAACAATCATTTTTTTTTTCTTTTCTCTTATAATTTAAATAATCATTTCTTTTATTTTCTTTCCTACATTTCCAAACATCACCAAGGATCCTCTAGAGTGAAATTTCCCTAAAGTTTCCTAGAGTGTTACATTGTGTGGTTGAGATTTACTGGCAAGTCACATCAATTTTTCTGATGTGACTTGCCAATAAATCTCAACCACACAATGTAGCACTCTAGGAAAAAGTACAGGATTTACACTATGTTTGGATTGAGTGATTTGGGGACAAAAGAAGAGAAATAGGGAGATATGTATTTTTCTTATTTGTTTGGACAACTGAAGTGGAGAGAAATAGAGAGAAATCATTTTTCTTATAACCTTCATTTTCAATTTTTCCAAAAGTAGAGAGATTGTGAGAGAAAAGAAATCAATAGATTCTTATATTTGTATAATACCAATTTTGTCCTATAAAAATAAAAGAAATAAAATGATTGACAAAATATAAAAAAGATTATTTTAGTAATATAACATAAAATCGTTTTTTTTCTTTTCTCTTATGAAATTTAATCAAACAAAAAGAAGAAAAATCACAATCATTTATTTTTTTTTATTTCTTACTTGTCCAAATAATAAAGAGAACAATCATTTTTTTTTTCTTTTCTCTTATAATTTAAATAATCATTTCTTTTATTTTCTTTCCTACATTTCCAAACAAAGGGTTAGGGTATTGTTCAGGGGCACATTAGTCATTTAGGTTGAAACGGATCGTCGATCCTCGAAAACCCTTGGCGTCTCTGTCTCTCGTTCTGGTTGTCTCGCTCTCGCAGAACTGCACAACACAGTAAAAGCTTCCTCTCTTGCTGGTTCAATCCCTTGTATAGAGAGAGGAGGGTCAAAAATATTGTTTTGAGCTCTCTACTGGACTTGAAAGTGGTTCTCAGCATAATACACAATGGCCAAGCGCGAGCTTTCCAGCACTTTAAAGAACTTGAAGGTAAAAAAAATTGAGCACAACCCATCTGTTAACACCTTTTATAACCACGCGAATTCGATGTAATGGCCAATTTTTTGAACTGGATTTTGCTTAACTTTTTCTGGGTATTGTTTAATTTTTTGAAATTTTCCTTATTGTATTCATTGAATCTTTTGAAGCTCATAATGCTGCCTTTGTGAACCCTTGAACTCAATTGTGGGATTTTCTTGTTCTGTGTTGCAGTTCATGCAAAGGGCTGTTCAGAGAGAAGAGAAGTGTCAGAAGGAAGAAGAGGTCATACCTGATGGGAACTTTCCATCCTCTGGTACCATAAAAAAATGGTAAATCTTTTTTTTTCCCCTCCCCCGTTTTTTATGGCAATTTGAATATTTTGATTCTTGAAGTCTAATTTATTTTCTTAGATTCAGTACAATTCCTCTTGCAGAGGCACCTTTGCGGGTGGAATAAGTTTATTGATTTATTTTTTAGTTAAATATCGGCCCCTTAAACTGAAATTATTCTTGGGAATCTTATAGTAATTCAAAGAAACAATTCTTTTGATTGGTGAATTTAAAAATTTCTGAGAGTTTAAATCATTGTTTGACTTTGGGAATAACAAAGGGCAGGCCGTGCACTTGGCAACCACAACCCTACTGCAGCCTAATGGAACAACCTCCATCTTATTCTCATCCTGAACCTGTGACAGGTTTGGAACACATCCATTGTCATCCAAAGTAAATCATATGTCTCAGAAAGATATAAAACTGCTCCAAATTCAAGAAGTACATATTCAGACAATGAAGATGTTTCCATATAAAATGAGACTGAATCAGTAACTCTTCAAGATGAAGTGACAAATATATGGATAGGTATTATACAATCAAGTTTTAAGAAAACTATTGAAATTCAAACTTTGCAAGACATTTTGATTTTGAATGCTTATAAGCACTTTGTTCAAAATTGTATGTTTTTTTTTTCTGGGCACAAAATACACATGCACACAGAGGGAGGGAGGGTGATGGCAGATGGGGGTGACTTCTAAAATGTTAGGAAGAACCAAGAGAGGAGGAATGCAGGACACTGAATATATGGAAATTTATTGTGGCGGGTTTGGGGCAAATTATCGAAAAATGTACCATACCTGAACTGAAGTTGGGATTTCAGTTTCTTCTTTGAACCTGTTTGCTACTTACATCTATTGTCAGCCTTCCCAACCCATTTTACTGAGGTCAGTTTCCCCAATTTCCAGGTTAAATTGTGGTCTTGTGGTTGAGTTATTGAGTGTCTGAGTAATGAGTACAGTGGATACAAATATAAAGTTATTCATTTAACTTGTTGGGGAGGTGACCAACACCTGCCCCAACAAGCCTTTCATTGTTATAGTTTATATTTGTTCACATGGATTTTTCGACCTCCAATTTGCATTGTTATATCTAGTTTGCATTTGGAAACTTTTTTTTTTTTTGGATTTGGATTATGGTTTCAAATCTAATTGCAATCTACATATTGAAATTTTTTAATTTTGAAATTCATTGATTGGATATCAAACATCAATTAACAATTATGAATTGATTTATCATTTTTATGTATGCATACTTGGTGACAAATATATTAGAGAGATTGCAGAGGGACTTTCTTTAGGGAGCTATAGGGGAGGAGTTGAAGTATTACTCTATCCACAAGTTTGTCTACTTATCCTATCCATGGGGATGCTTGGGGGTTTAGAGGCTGGAGGTGTTTAATAAAGCTCTGTTGGGAAAGTGATTGTGGATGTTTGTTTCAGAAAGTGATTGATCGTGGAGAAGGGTGGTGGAAGGGAAGTATGGGAGAAATTGGGATAATTGGTCCACTAGTAGACTTGTTGGGCTTTGTGGAATGGGGTTATGGAAAGGCTATAAGGATGTAAGATGATTTTTTTAAGAGAGCACTTGATATGGTGAGTGATGAGAGGAGGGTGAGTTTTTGGCTTGATTCTTAGTGTGGACTATTGACCTCTCAAGGATTTGTTCTCAGATCTTCTTTGTTTGGCTGTCAACCCTAATATGGTTGTTGAGGAGTACTCTTGCTTGAAGATAGTAGATTAGTTTGGAATTCTCAGTTTCAGAGGATTAGGTGAATTTGGAAGTTCAGTCCATGGAGGTTTTTTTTTGGGTTTGCTTTATCATGGTGCAAAGATTCTCCAGGGAGGTCAGGATGTCATGATTTGGGGTGCCTCTAAGAAATGAGTGTTTCAATATGTTCTTTCTACCAGATTTTGAGTGGTGGTAGTGGTTCATTCTGCTCTTGAAAAGGCATTTGGAGCAGTAGAGCTCCTTTTATGGTTGTATTTTTTGCTTGGATAATTGCTTTGTTGTCTATTTTGACTATTGACAATCTTAGAAAGAGATATAGGTGAAGCTAAAGTGGTGTTGTATGTGCAATCAGGCAGGGGAGGGAGTGTCAATCACCTCCTTTTTCCTTGTTTGATGGTTACAAAGTTGTATATGAGAGACGAATGTGAGATGGAGACGGGAATGCTTGCCATACTATTGTGTCTGTGGTTTGAGCATTGGGGACGGAGAGTCAACAGTTGGTGGATTTCAAAGAGTATTTCTCGGGGCGTTATTCTAAATCCATAGGTTATGTGCACTTAAATACTCAAGCAGATTAGTCAGGATTTCAAATCTTTCATGCCCCATTTTGCAAACAAACCATATTGATTTGAGAGATCCACATGCCTCGAATCCTTAAACCCAACAGAGCCTTAGGGAATTTGTGGTTGTTTGTGTGTTTTAGTTAAACCTCAAGGATTGGTTCTTAGCATTGTGTGTCTGGTGAGCAGCACCTAGAACAGGTGACCTCTTGTTATCTATGCCTGTGCATAATAAGTGGAGTCTGCTGCCTCTTGTTCTCATCCCCTTTGTTTTCTATAATCAAGTAGATAGTGTCTGTAATGATTTTTGGACCATGAATCACATACACTACTTCGATATAGCCTTTCTATATTTTTTGGGTCTTCTCAAGATTTTTTTTTGGATAATTGATTTCTGAGTGTTGCTTGTATTGTATACTACTGCATTTTGTCCTACTAAGTTAACTCTAAGCTGATTTGAGACCACTTCCAATACCATGAACCTTGGTTCTTCTTCACGAATTCATTCACATGAACACCAGCTAGTTTTCGTTTGGCAATCTTAATTCTATCTCCTTTGCTTTTCATAGAGTCCTGTATCTAAATCCATTCTGTCAACTGAAATCATTATATATAATGGTTATTAGAGTTATTAATGTTGTCAGTGATGCCTTGTCCCAACCATTTGGGGTTTATGTTCATAGTTGAATAGCTGCTGCTAGCCACTACCTCTGCACTGATCAAAATTTTACTGAATTGCTATGCTATCTTTATATGCAGCACTGTTATTATAGAAGGTGATCCCCATCCAGGGGCGATAAAAGGCCGGATGTCGTTTGGAAGTTTTAATCCTTCTATTGATGTGAGTATAAGGTTTGAGTGGCGTGAAAGTCTTTTAAAGATTATTTCACTTTTTGTGCTCTCCTCATTCTGAAACTTTGCTTGGTAGAAATTGAATGAAGCAGCAACAAACCCTCGTCAACCAGAAGCCTCTACCACATGTTCTGGCAATCAAAATGGAAGAAATTCTGATAGGTGGGTGATTTGACCTTTCAAATTCTCTCGACATGTTACTGTTCTGGTATTTTTTCTCAATTGTTGAAAAGTTACTTGTTGGCTCTATAACATTTCATTCTTCATATTTTTATATTCATTATTGTCAGTAAAGAAAAGAAAATCTAAAAGTGATAACGTATCTGCTCCAAACTAAATTGATGCAACCTTCTCTCAATATGGAATTATTGGGCCAAACTTAAGAATAAGCCATCTTTTGTGCTCAGGCATTACTGAACAAAAAAGATACAATGGCACATAGTAGGTGTGAGATTCTTAATTTTTTATTTTTAATTTTTTTATTTTGGGGTACTATGGAAATGTTGTGAGATTCTTAAGTGTCAGACCCTAAAATACATGACTTAATCACCTATTTGAAGCAATTTGGAGTAGTGTTATGGATGATGCATTGCACACTAAATAGTGGATAGATATGTGATTTCAACACATATGTGAACCTAAGTTTTCTGAATCATTCCCACTTTTAACTACTTATGGTAGTATTCTCTCTTTTCAATATTACAGAGAAAAAGGGTCCACACAATATGAATTGGAGAACTTGAAACTAAATAGTTCCAACAACGATGATGCCAGTGGGGAAGTTAAAAGGAAGCAGCATGAAGTTGTCTCAGAAACGCAGTATCCAAATAAATCACAGAAAAATGTTCAAGGCGATCAGGAATCATCACCAAATAATAGCAGTTCTCAGAGGCAACCAAAGCATGAAAAGCTGGACTGGAATGTTCTAAGACCTTCGAAAGGCCAAAAGAAAAGGCAGTGAGTACCATCAGGTGATTACTTCAGACTCATGTGAAATTGATTTCCATAGGCTTTTAAAGTTCTAAGAATAGTTGTAACCTTCTTGTAAGTGTGTCATTAGCATTCAATTAATTTTCCTCAATTAGAATTTCTATCTTTGTTAGTTTATTTGAAGAGTTAAATTGAATTCCTTCCATTATGTTATTCATTATCCTACCAATCTGTGGATGCTTGAGTACCATCTTTGTAATCCCTCTGATTGGCGTTTGATACTAGATTTACAATAATTTTTAACATAATTTGACAATAAAAGTTTCATAATTGACGTGGAAGAATTGCCGTGGTAATTTTTTTTATTACCACTTGGTAATCAACAAAAATTAATTATTTGGTTTGAATGCTAAAAGCATAGAAAGCTAATTATTGGTAGTATTATACAATGTAACTCACAGCAGAAGTTACCAGTGTTTCTTAAAACTTGAAATACACATCTTTAACTATTGATAATATACTTTACAAACTCTTCTTACTCACAAACGTTTTGGTATTTGAAATATGACAGGGATAACTCAATTATGACCTCTAAAAGAGAAAAAATTGTAAGATTTGTTAATTTGTATAGCATCACTGAACAACACCACACCTCTTTTTTGGGGTACGTTCAGATAGTAAATACTTTTACGAGTCTTCTTGTTGTTTTATTTACTCCTCCGCTTCTATTTGTTAGCTTCTGTGTAGTTCATTGATTCTGTATCCTCCTATTAGTATCAATCCATGTCAGACATACGTGGTTTTGCACTTGTGTGTGGTTGGCTTTGTAGTTTACAATGATTGAACATGGTTTGTTTCAAGCCACATGGATAACATTTTTTTAAGTGATGTGTTTTATTTTCATTGAGCAAGACACAATCAGTCCATGCAGCCTTGCTTTTCAGTTGGTGGTACTATTTAACTTTTATAAAACTACTAGACATAGACTATCTATCTAATCATGTAAAACACTAGACAAGTTTATGTTATGAGTTCCCTTTGAATGCAGCATAAAGGGCCTTTTGATTTTTTTATCCCAATTCACAAAATTTGAACCAGAGTTATTTATCCAAAAAAATAAAAATAAAAATTGAACCAAAGGAGAATTTTATCCTGAAATTGTTTAATCCTTTCCAGTGTCGTTATCCATGAATCAAAAGAACGCTGATTTTTTTTTTTTTGGGGGTGGGGGGGAGATTAACTAATCTCATGGGGAGGTGGGATAGAGGGGATAAGTTATATTATTGGATAATGGATGAGATTGTATGTGCTATATGATTAGTGTTATACTAAGGTCTAGTTTGGGAAGACTAAATAAGTGCACTTTTTGACTTTTTATGAAATATGGGTTGGGTTTGGGTTGGGTTTGAAGTGATGTGTTAGAGAGGTGATGTGACTTTAATAAGATGATGTGACTTAAATAGGATAGTGACTTTTTGACTTTTTGTCTTTTTTCAATCATGCCAAACTTAGCCTAGTTTAGTTAGGGTGGGATAAAGGGATGAAGATTATTTTCGATCGTTAGATGATTGATGAGGGAGTATAGTTCAGAGGGGGGAGCGGGGATTAACTAATCTCATGGGGAGGTGGGATTAGTTATCCCCCAAGCAATTGCTCATACAAGGGATATAATCCCGAGATTACCTTGTTTGAAGCAAACAATGGACAAGGGGGATATGGAGAGATGTGGTGATTTCAATTCCACCCCTTAGTCTGCTGAACGGTATGTTAGACCTTAATATGCGGAAGCAGCTGCTATAAGATCAGTTTGGTAAAAGCCTTGATGAATCACCCCTTCCATCGGTGTTCTGAACAAATTGTCAAACTGCTAAACCAATCTGAATCGGTTCAAACCGTATGGAAGTCCTTTATTTTAGGGGATGGTTTGGTTCCAATTCTAAGAGCATCCATATTAGCCTTAACAAATTAACTTTTTGGCTATATATAACTAGTAAACTATGAAAGCATTGCTCCATAAGTCTCAACAAAATAATTCTATAACTGGCTATTATTTGTATTTGCTATAGTAACTTAGCAAATTTGTTGAGGTACTATTCATTAGCTATTCAATAGTTTATTATTTTTTGATAGATTTGACTCCACTATCTTGACTTTCTTGAGTATTGATCATTAAAAGAATGGCTAATAAAATATTCTTTTAATAAAATAAAGTTAGAATAGAGAGTCTAATGGATGGAGTATTTAAAAAGAGAGCTATATAAAATAAAAAAGTGATTTTCAAATTGTAATTTGGTTCAAAACTTGATGAGCTTGATGTGGATACTCTAATAAGTTAAGAATCGGTGATGACGGTTTGGTTCTCGGATTAAGACTCGAAAGAACCGAATTAAATCAAACTGAATCATTCTCCATTTTATATTAATTTTTTTGGTAATATTTTATATTAATTTTGATAAATATAAGGGTATTTTGTGAGAAATTTGTTCTCCTTCTCATTGGCTTCCTAGAACCTCTATCTCATTTCAACGTCGATGAGACTTTTATTCATCCTATTTAGAAAATATTCTCTCTATACTATTTATATGATTTTTACACTCCTTATATTATTAAAATATATATTTCTATATTAATTTTTATAAAAATATGATGTTTATGTTTTGTCTTTACCCGTTTCAGAACTTTTGAAATGCTTCTATAATAGGTAGAATAAATATTTATTGACATGTACAATGATGAATTTTCTAGCCTAAAACAATGGAACCGAACTAGAATTTTGGTTTGGTTCCAAACGTTTTAGAGTTTGGTTTGGTTCCCAACTTTTTAGAACTGTAGGAATTGGTTTGGTTTTTGATTCACCTCAAAACAGGTCCATGAACACCTTTACCCTGCAACTTCCATCAGTTTGGTTTTGGATTTATGTCACGCTGCAAAATTTGAACAATTAAATATTAAATTATGACTAAATTTCAATCAATGTTCCATCATCCAAATCGTAGGAGTGAAACAAAATTTAAATGTTCACGTCTCTAAAGGGTTTAAGTAAATTTCCATCCTCAAAAGACTACAAGGGGAAAAAAAAAAACTAACAAAACGCCAATCAAACTATCCATCATAGATTCATGACTAACCAATACCTCCAACATTAAAGCAACAATAAATAGTCAAAATAACTTAAATAATGTAAAATTACAAACCATGCCAAATTGTCAAAATACTAAGGTCAAAAATAAATAAATAAATAACTAAACTAATTTTAACTCTAAGCTCAAGAAAACAAAAGAAGTCTAAACGACATGTCCAATAACTATAGTTATTCCACATCACCACCGTAGCCCTAACTAATCTTGCAAAGGAAGTTCGGCTCCGCTCAAACAGAACGCACCCGAATTGCCAAGAGATAAAACGGGTCTTGATATCTGCCCAAGTCAAAGTCGTCAAATTTAGACTCTCCTTGCATAAGTTCCACCAAAATAAGGCTACTCCCTTAAGCTGATGTGTCGCCAACTCCTGTTTTAGACCTCGGTGAGCTGCATACGACCAAACACTATCTCACATTTTTGAACCCAAGCGTCAACTGCAATGGGTCCTCCATCTCCAGAGAATTTTTGACCTCCCATAGAACCAAAGTCTTTGTTTCTCTTCGCAAAGGGATCTCCCTGGTGGCCTTGATCATTGTTCTGAACAACCTGAAGTAACTGAGCCATCATGTCCCCCACATTAACCCGCACCATATTGGTTGCCCCGGTAGCAGTTGTCATTGCCGCTGCCACCGTTGCATTAGCAGTTGTTTCTTCCTCTGTTTCATTGGGTTCAACACTTCTCAAATTATACCTTCCAGCCATCACTTTCAAGTTAAACACACAAAAATTCGTTCATAAATACTTAGAATAAATTCAATCACCAGCCTAAACCAGCTAACCCATGTTTCCACAGTCCAAGAATCACCTAAACTCTCATAAGTCTAGGGTAACCTAGAGCTGTGATACCAAACTGTCACGCCCCAAAATTTGAACAATTAAATCCATCTCCTTCATTTCTAAAAACCATTGGTAAACAATTAGATAAACTAGAAATAAATTTAGATGAACAATCAGCAAAATCTACTAAACCCTTAGATCAGCCTTTACTAAATCTCCCTACTCATCGTTCCAAACGAACTAGCTTAGTTACAAATGATCAGTTTACTGTCAAAGCTATTGAACATTTATTTACTAAATTAACTCCCAATGATACTTCTACATCCAAAGATAAAGGTCTTACTGTTTTAAATCAACATCCTATTACCAACACTATTTTGGATCAATCTGAAACTGAAACTACTGATCATGAAATAGATGACATAGATCAATTAGCCCAACAATTTCAATCTTCTCATCTTAATAAAATTCATTATCCCAAAGTTAATCTTCAAACTACCGAAAACTAGTATTCTAGACCTACTCCACCTGATCTCCAATTTGAAGAAACTAACCTTAATAATCAATTTTCTGTTTCTGCCAAAAAATTATACGAATGGAATATTGATGGTCTCAGTGAAGATCAGATCCTTCAAAAATTAAATCATTTATCTATGGTTGCAAATAGTTATCTCAGTAATTATCCCCAATATTCTCAATCTGAAATTGTTTCCTTACTTACCTCTGGTTTTACTGGTATGCTTAAATCTTGGTGGGAAAAATATCTTAATGAAGAACAACGTGACTCAATCATTTATGCTAATCAAACTGATGAAAATGGTCTCCCTATTTTTGATGAAACTATTGGATGTTGTCACCCTGATGGAATCAATCAATTAATCTATACAATAGTCCGACATTTTATTGGTACCCCTACAAATATATATTCTCGCATACATGATCAACTTAGTAATCTTACCTGTCCAACCTTAAGTGATTTTAGATGGTATAAGGATGTATTTACCTCTCGTGTTATGTTAAGAGAAGATTGTATTAAATCATTCTGGAAAGAAAAATTTATTAATGGCTTACCTAGTCTATTTGCTCACAAAATTAGAGATGTTCTTAGTCAACCCACTGGAGTTATTGAATATGACAATTTAACATATGGTGACATAATTAGCACTATTCAAAAAGAAGGTTTAAAAATGTGTATTGATCTTAAACTTACTCAAAAAGTTAACAAAGATAAACATAAAGCTAAATATGAATTAGACAATTTCTGTGAACAATATGGTTTACCACCTGTTGCACCCTCTCGTAGGAAATCCCATAAATATTCCAAACATAAACATAAATCATCATACAAATATTCTAATAAATATAAAAAGAATTATTCACCTTCAAAATCAAATGATAAATTCTCTACTAAAC